TCCGACGGGGCAGCAACGTCTGCTCGGGCTGCTGGAGCAAACCGGGAGAGGCCGAAATCTGAAGCTGTGGCCATTTGGGAGGCAGGATTAGCTCCAAGGCTGTGTGAGTGTCCGCAGGGAGTGTGAGCTCCTTGCTGCTCCTGCGCTAGGCTCCGCGTTGCGGCCGCGCGGCCTCGGCTCCGGGCTGTGTGAGGACGGGCACCGCTCCTGGCCCCGACAAGCGCCCGATCCGGACGAGCTTGCGTGTGGGGCTGATTATATAAAATGAAATGACACTTCAAGGTCTTGTTTTAAGGAAACTAGGCCTCTGAAATGGCCCTGGTGCAGCTGAATCCTGCGGCGCAGCGTGGCAGGCCTCATCCTTCCCCCCGAGGAGAAGCAGTGTCACCTCCTCCTCCTTCTCCTCCTCCTCCTCCTCGCGCGGCTCCGCACCGGGGGACGCAAGGCCGAGCCCTGCCCATCGCTGCTGTGTGATTCACTGGGTCCGCCGGGGCCAGGGACGGCGTTTGGAGGGAATTTTTCGGAATTGCTCTGTCAACAGGAATTCACATAAAACAATTAGCACGACCGCAGCCATGTTGTCTTGGTTTGCTCGTGTCTGGCTGCCTCTGAACTGGAGCCCTCTGCGGTCCCTCATGTTTGTTTTCCCTCTCTCCGCAGAATGCGATGAACTTGCCGCCCGACAAGGCCAGGTTGCTGCGGCAGTACGACAACGAGAAGAAGTGGGAGCTCATCTGCGACCAGGTAAGGGGCGGCTGCCGGGCCCTTCGCGCAGCTCCTGCCAGAGCTGGTCCCAAGGCTGGGACAGCACCAGCGCTCCGTTGGCTTCAGGCATCCATTTCTTCAGCCTTCTGCTCCGTTATCCTCATGGAACCTGGAACTGTGCCGCCCGTTTCCTCCACAACTGATATTTCCTTCCCACCTGATTTCCTTGTCGCCCCTGTTTTCCCTAAGTGATGAACATGGCTTATTTTTTGTGGCATAGACCTGGGCAGAGTGACCTTAACCACCGCTGGGCAAGTGTCCGCGTTTGGTCTGTCCTGCTCAGCTTTGGCTTTCCATGTCACAAGCCGTTATCCCAGCTGGCACTAGCGGGGATCCCCTTCGGTGCTGCATGAATAGTCATGGAGCCCGAGCTGCTGCTTCATCTCCAGAGGCTGAACAAGGACCTTAAGCAGCACCATGGGCTGAGGCAGCTTCTGTGCGTGAGCTGTGCTGTGGAACACAGGCCTGACAGAGCACAGAGCAACAGGCAGCCTGTGCCGAGGCAGCCGGGCAGGCACCGCAGCGTTTGGAGGCAGCAAAGCGTGCACAAGCGTGCTAGTGAGCCAGCACCAGCACCAGGTCCTAGCATAAACTGCAAGAGTAATTGCTAAGGAAAAGAACTGCTCCAGGACTGGAAGGGGAGGATGTTCCTTTGAAATGTAAACACAGAGGGACCAGGCTGAGAGTTTGGCAGAAGGTGCAGTCGTGCTATGAGGTCAGGAACATCATAATAAATAGGTTTGTGGGACTTTTCCTGTTTATCCATTACAGGAGTTGAGCCTGTGATGAAATCCAATTACCTTAAAGTAAACTTGAATACAGAATTACCTGCTTCTTTCCAGGAATTTCCTGTGCAGAAATCTTGAAGCCTTGCACTATTTCAAGTTTCAGAAGCGATGCTGAGCAGATCGCTTAATCCAGCGCGAGTGTTTTGTTTCTTGGGGGATGCTAGCGGAGAACACGCACACTGGAGCGCGAGGGGTGTGAGTGTGATGAGTGCGCCTGCCCTCAGCGCGGCAGCTCAGCCCGACGGGCTCCCTCGCGCCCGGGAGCTCATCCAGCCCCTGGTTCACCTCAGCCCTCCATGGAAAGCACGTGGAAACACGCAGCAAGGAAGCCGTGCAGCGGCGGTAACTGCGTCCCCGTGCCGGCGTCCTCCGTGTGCTCCTGCAGCCGCTGCAATGGGAGCAGCGTGGAGCAGGTGTCTGTGAAAGCACCACAAGGCAGCATATGGCGTGTGAAATATTTATATCTGTCCGCATAATTACGGCACGCGGCTAAAAATACTTCCAGGAATAAATTTTGTACAGAATGGATATTTTAATGTGGAAGCAGAATTTGAATGGCTATTTTGTGTTGGAATCACCCGTAACACCATTTTTCATCCTTTTTTTTTTGGCTTGTTGAAGGACAGAGGATGTAAATTAACGAAATATCTTGAAGAAATTAACCCTTACGCTGCATAGGCCTGTGCTCAGTTGCAGCTTCTGTCTGAAAAAGAAAAGGGTCCAAGTAAAGAAATTGCTTTTATATGATATTTTCAAAATTGCTTGTGAAACAGGCCCTGGTTGTTTGTCTGAAATAATTGGAGAATTTGTTACTGGGGCATTTGCATTTCGGTGTAGGGGCATGAATTAGGGTGTCAGAGGGCTGCTGCCCTCAGCCCTGCTCCCCGTTTGGGGACGTGCTGGGCTCTGGCTCTGCTCCTGCAGGACTGATGGAGAGGAGAGCCCCAAGGAGCCTCCTTGGAGAGCCCCGGCCCTTCCCCTCAGCCCGGAGAGCGTCGGGATGGGGTTCTTTGGAGAAACGCTCATCCCATGGGAGATGGCAGTCAGGAAGGGCCCGCGTGGCGGGTCAGCCGGGCAGCTGAGCGCTGGGAATGAGCCCAGCTGAGGAGATGGCAGCGTTCCCAACACGACCAGGGGACGGAGGGGATGGCAGCGTTCCCAACAGGACCAGTCCCCTTTGAGGAAGGTTCCCTGCCTCCCTGGGGAGTTGTGTGTGGTGGGTCTGGGGCCTCCCCGGAGGTGGAGGGCGATGGTGGGACCCTCCGAGGAGGTTCTTCCATGCCCTCTAATGGCAAGCGGTGGCAGGGCGCAGCGTGGGGGACGCAGACCCTCTCGGGGACGGTGGACGTGTGTGGGGAGCAACAAGCTGAGAGGCCTAAGGGGAAGGGGAGGGTTGCCGGGAAGCCGTGTGGTTTACGCCCCGACGCCGGGTCTTGGGTCCATGCCCCGGGTCATGCCAAGCACCCGCTGCGCTCCAGCAAGGCCGCGCTCGGGCCGTCGGCAGAGCTCCCTGCCTTGCTCCAGGGTTTGGCTCGGACTAGAAGGATGGATGTGTGAGTGCAGCTCCTTTCCGAGGCCGCATCCACAGGTGAGAGGTTGTGCTCTCGGGTGAGCTCTGGTTATGCTGAGGGCGAATGGGGTTCCCCAGGACTTCGGTGCGAAAAATGGCCTCAGAGAAGTGGGGTTTATCTTGGAGTGCTTTCCCGGCGGGACATCACGGTGAAGGGAGGCTCCAAGCGCAGAAATCTGCTGTTTTGAGATTATGCTGTTGAAAATAAACAGCATTCAGAATAGCCTAGGAAAGGATAACATCTGAAACCACAGAGGGACCCTGCAGAGCTGTGTTCACGTATACTTGAAAATAAGAAAGGACCTTTTCTTCTTGGAAATTAAGTTAATCTACTCGCTAGGTAGCTGACAAAGAGGAAGATCATGTCCAGCCCGTGCTTTTCCCATCTCAGGTTTGTAGACGGGTGTCGGTGCTCATGTGAGTCACACAGACCGTGCGGATAAGGGAGATTCCATCGGGATTTGTTAACTTTGTCATGTCTTAACAGCGCAGCTCGGGGCCTGCAGGAAGAGGAGCTGATAGTGTGTGAGTTAGGATGATGCCAGCCGGATACGTCTCCTGCTCAGCGAAACCTGGGGAGTTGAATGTGAATGTCAAAGTGTGGGGTGAAAATCCCCACCTCCCAGATGCAATGGTACTAAAGCCCGTGCCGAATACACTTACATTTTGACAGCAGGTTTTGCCTGGTGAACAATTATGAATCGCCAGAAGTGAAGAGGGTTCCGGGCGGGATGTGGCTGCTCGGGGTCCTGCGGCTTTGCTGGAGCTGCGGGAGACCTGCCCCCTGGCCTGGGGAATGGCAAGGGCATCCCCGCGTTTCCTGCGGGAAAAGGGGAAACCCTTTGGCACTGATTTCCCCCTTGGTGGGCAGCTGAGACGGAGCAAGTTGGTGGGCACGTGGGCATTGCTTGGAGATCCGAAGCGAGGCCGGAGTATCATAATCTTGACAAAACAGCCCAAAATAATACTGCTCAGCTGCATGGGCACTGCTTAAAGTAATAGCAGTGTTAGGCAGTGTTTTTTTTTTTTTTTAATAAGCTACCTGCAGAGATTATGATGCAATGCATAACTCCAGCCAGTTTTTGAGAAAGCAAATGAAAACGTGTAATATCTGCATCGTGGACTGCTAGATCTGCTGACTACCTTTGAGCATTTCATTTTGAAGGCTGCAGATATGAAAACTGGCAGTTAGGAAAAGCTCATGTCATTCTAACCGATGATGCCTGATTATGAAGTAAGAGAAATATATCCCAAAGAATAGAGTAACTTCTCTAGAGGATTAGACTAAACACAGCAGAGCTCCAGCAGCATTAGAGAACTCCCAAGAAAACGACTAAATATTAAAGCTAAAGTGGGATTTTGTCAAGCGCTTGGTGCTGTCAGAACTGCTGATCCATCTGTTGGGCTGTACAGCTGCCTCTTGCTTTCCTTGCAAAACTGACTGTTTTTGTACCCAGGTACTTTGCAGATGTAAATGGCAATATTTGGACATGGTTACACGATTGCACAGTGCAAACACTTGTACCTTAAGTAGTTTGCAGGGAAAGA